CAGCATGGAATTGAGACGGGTTATAATGAAGTCGATGACCTGTGAGGGAACAAGGCACGACTTCTCATGGTTAATGCATAGTCCCAACTTGTCCAAGAGGGTACAAGTAGTTTGAGTGCTGACTGAAGGCCTTCCTTAGATGGGGAGACGATCAGCCAGTCATCCAGGTAGGGGTATACTTGAATCCCTTGGAGCCAAAGGTGTGCGCACACCGGGGCCATACATTTTATAAAAACCCGGGGGGCAGTAGCCAGTCCAAATGGCAAGACGTTGTACTCATACAGGTTGGAACTGACTGTGAACCGAAGAAGACGCTCGTGAGACGGGCGAATGGTAATGTGAAAAATAGGCATCTTTCAAGTCCAGAGAAGCGAACCAATCCTCTCTCCAACGGAAGGATATTTGGAGGGTAGTCATCCGAAATTTTGTGGTCTTGATGAACCTATTGATGCCACGTAGGCCCAGAATCGGACGAAGACCGCCATCACACTTACGGATAGTGAAATATGTTGAGTAGAATCCATGGAGCCCCTAGGAGCGTGAAAGCTGTGAAACTGCTCCTTTACGAAGAAGTTGCTGGACTTCATCAACGAGAACCGATAAGTAAGACTTAAATCGGATCAATTCATACCTGCGTCCATACTTGCCCTCCCGCCCTCTAAGATCGGCGGCAGAGGCCCTTCTCCGGGAATCCTCCGTGAAAGATATTAGGAGGGTAAGTGCCCGGAGGAGGGTCTTCTCTGCGGTGGCACCCCACTTATGGAATGCGCTCCCCAGAGAGGTCCGCCTGGCGCCGTCGTTATTTGTTTTTCGGTGCCAGGCCAAGACCTTTTTATTTAAACATTATTTTAATTGTTTATTTATTGGTTTTATTTATTGCCTGGATGTATCCAATTTTTATATTTTTGTATTGTTATTTGTTGGAAGCCGCCCTGAGGCTTATGCAAATGGGGCGGCATACAAGTTTCCCAAATAAAGAAATAATTCCCGGCAGGGGCATGGTATCGAACTCAATTCTGTATCCATGCTGTATGATGGATAAAACCCACTGATCAGAAGTGATGGACTCTCAGATGGGGAGTCGACTTTGCAGCTGATCCCCAAAGGGAAGAGGAGAAGGTGGGTTGAGGAGGAGAGGAGAGGTTCGCTTGTCCCATTAACGTTGATGTTTGTCGGAGTTGGGATGACAACGTTTCTGTTGGAAGCGTTGTTGTTGCTTCCGACGCTGTGGCCGGGGCTGGAACTGCTGATGGCCCACAGATTGCGAGTACAGCTGGTATCTGTAGTATGGGTGAGACCAAGACCACTTACAGCGCGATTGATTCGGGATTTCCATCTGGCGAGCTGTAACCCTCGACTCATGGATAGTCTTCCTCTTGTGATCCGTCTGCACGTTGAAAAGTCCTGAACTGTCAAAGGGTATCTCTTCAATCCGGCGTTTTGTCTCATCCGGAAAGTTGCAGTTCCGGAGCCAGACATGACGACGGAGGGCTACGGCACCAACAAGAGTGCTAGAATTGGAATTGACATGGTGTCTCACCATGGAAAGCTGCTGGACTGCCACCTGCATAGCCACTTTAATGAAGATTCTAGCCAAGTTTTTCTGCTGGTCTTGAAGAGAAGCTGTAATATTTTCTAACTTCTGCATAATAAAGTATTAGTATCGAGCCAGCATTGCCTCATAATTGGAAATGCGGAGGCCAAGTCTTGTAGTGGCATAGATCCAGCGAGCCAACATGTCGATCTCGCGGCCCTCTTTTTCGTGGGGGGTGGTGTGTCCCCTCGACTCACGTCCTTGGATGATGGAGGAGGAATGGAATATCCTGCTTACGAACTCGATACATGGCCTTGTATCATCACGAAGTGGGTTGAGGCTGATTAGGATAGTTCCACAGTTCCATCATTGCCTGGCGAAGAGTTGTAATAAGTGGCAAAAAGATGGCAGCCGACTGTTTACCTTTGACAATGTTGTAAAAATTTGTCAGTTTTGGGATCGAAGCGGTGCTGGGCCTCGATCTCAAGTGATCTCGTAAGCTTTGCCATCAGTTCCTCAGAGATTACATAGGGTTCCTCCGGTGAGCTGGGACCCTGTGTAGAAATTTATTTATTTATTTATTAGATTTATATCCTGCCTTTTTCCTACAAAGGGCTTAAGGCAGTTTACATCATTCTCCTCCTTCATCTTATCCCCACAACAACAACCCTGTGAGGTAGGTTGGGCTGAGAGTCTGTGACTGGCCCAAAGTCACCCAGTTGGCTCCATGGCTGAACAGGAACTAGAACCCAGATCGTATGAGCCCCAGTCCCATGCTCTTAACCACTACACCACACTGGCTCTCACCGCGTCTAGTGAGGTCGATGCCACTTCGGAGTCCCCCAAGTCCGAATCGTAGTGAGGCGGGAGACTAGAAAAAGAATCAATAGGTGAAGTGAGACGCCTGGACTGAGTCGCTCTCAAGATCGAAGGAGCATCTCTTGGTACCGGAGAGAGGGTACGATTGTGCACCAATGGGTAGTAACCGTAGGGGGGATAATCATCCCATGGCTCGCGATGAGATGGCCTATGTGGTAGCTGCACCCATTCTTCTGAGGGATGAATGGAGGTACCCTACTGTTATCGCTCCTGCTGAGCAGCAGCCCTCGGGAAAGGTTTGGGTGATGGTTGTGGAGTAAGTGAACGAGCCATTGGAGGAGAGTCTCAAATCTCTCCGTCGGGGATTGATCCCAACAAGGGAACGTCCCGTGGCTCATGGGAGGACTGGACTGAAGGTGTGATCCATCTGGGAGACCCAGGCGGGATCACTTGCATGGCCAACTGGAGGGCTGGTCCGGTCGGCGTCGGTACCGAGACAGCTGTCGGAATTGATGGGGCAGACGAACCCGAATCACGGTGCCTGTGATGGTCGGGTTTCTTAGGCTTACGAGCTGACTTCTCCGTCTTGTCCTTCTTAGGCTTCTTACGGCCTGAGGACTTGTCGGATCCGCTGTGCTTCCTCTTCTCCCTCTTCTCCGTTTGTTTGTGTGGAGATGAAGAGGAGCGTTGACCCTTTGGCTCCATCAGCTGACGGGCGGGGTGGAAGTGTGGTGGAAGCGGAGGATGGAGGAACAGATTTGTCTGCCAGTTGGTCAGATTGGAGCAGGGCTTGGTCCCCACAAGAGTTTGCACAGGCGATTCTCTCATTTTTTCCTCACCTGCTTGGTAAAGGCCTGGCAATGGGGATATTTTGGACCCACACTGGGAGCACTTGCAGAAAGCTGCATGCTGCGCCATTGAGGAAGAACGAGATGATAGCAGAGTAGATAGAAAAAGGATTTTTATATATAGATATAACAGGGAAAAGGGGGAAATTGAGAAGAAAACGTCTAACAGAAAGGGAAAAACTTGAATAAATGTATACAAACTGAGAGACGAAAGGCTCGAGGCACAGTGAATGGCAGTCGCAAGAAGACTGAGGAAATAGCAGGCACTCCGCCCTTTTATACCATGGGGGGGAGGGTTGCGGAGTTCCTGCCAAAACCGTTAAGCTTTTGAATCTTTCTGGCCATAGGCACTGTGCAGGCGCAGCACCCATATGTGTGATGCACAGAGGCCACGACGAAGAACAGGAGAGCTCCAAGCAGCAAGAGAGATGCAGAACAAGGTCTTGGTTCATGGGTTGGACCACCTTGGGTTAAACACTTGATAAATAGCATAGAATAGACACAATTATTTAGAAACAGAGTATATGTAAAAACTTTTGATTACTTAACTATAAAGAAAAGTGGAGGATTTTGACTTGTACATAGGTGTTGAGTGCCCTTGTTGCAACACAGTGCCCTGCACATTTGTAAATAAACTTGGCATAGGACTGGAAGTACCTGGAGGGATTTGAATGGAGTCCATTAACTTATCCATTTACTTGAAGAGGTGTTGTAGCAGTGTGCAGGCTGATTAAATGCATTTTCATTGAGCAATAGATTTTATTTTACTTTGGAAAGCTCTTTAAAAAACCCACCTCTCAAAACCACATGCAAAATCCCAAATACTCTGGTCACTGTTACTATAACACCAGCAGGAAATACCAGTTTATCTGGACTTAATTATTAAGTATCTACAATGCATATTCAGAACATAAGAATAAAAGTGCTTCTTTCATTTAATTTATAAAGGCGCAATTGTGGTCACAAGGGGAGAGGTGCCTAAAAAACCCTGTTAACTGGCTTGTTTTACTAATGCAGTGTATGTAGAAGCATTAGGATTTTTGGCCAAGATGGGGGTAGTGGTACTCTACCTCCCTGCTATTGTCACCTTGGGCAGGTATTATGATTCTTGTGTATGTATATCTTTTTTTGCACTTTTATCCTGTTAGAAGGCTGTTTTTATAGGGCAATTGTTAAAAACATTTTGACATAGTGCCTGGTATAATAAGATAGAGTCGTAAGTATTCCACAATGGCAGGAATCCTGTTTATTGCATAGGCAATATCATATAACACAGATAATAATGTGGGAGATGACAGGTGAGAAGTGCAGTGAGAACTTTAGCATTCAGCAGCTTTGACAGTTCGGTGAGTTAATGTACAATTGTAAAGTTTAAGGGCTTTGAAGGGGGGAAGATTTAGGTCAGCAGGTTCCATTCATATGGCAGTCACAGGCTCTGAGTACAGTATTATAACATGATGTGAACTTATGATATTGAAATCAGTATTATATAAGATGTGATGTATATGATAGGTAACTTTCAAATTTCTGCAATAAAGCATTTAAACAAAAAGCTAGCTATGCTTGTTTGGGATTAAGTATCACTGGATTGAAGAAACCTGTACTTTTCGTGGCTGCTTTGTATTTCACTTTCTATAATGATCCTATTTCCCCTACCCTCCCTCCTGTTACAGGTTGCTATGGGAATCTTATGATAATCCGAGAGGAAGTAAGTCCCAGTAACATTGCAGTTACTCATGATGTGCCTGAAGTGAAGAGGAAACACTTAACATATCCAAGTGCCAAAGCTCTGCTGTGTCATGGCTACGGACTCTGGTGAATCAGCCAGCACAGAGGAATCGGAGAAACCTGATGGAGTTTCTTTGGAATGTAGGGACCCCTCTGTTGATGCTACTTTGACCATGGAGGCCAGGACCAAAGAGGGTGTCAACACGCCTGCCTCTGAAGTAACTACTGAGAGAAAAAGGTTTTTCCGAAAGAGTGTGGAGATAATGGAGGATGAAAAAGTCTTGGAACCCACTCCAAGGGATGAACAAGACCCATTCATAGTGGATGACCAGAGGATGTCCCATCTCTCTGCCAGCACACTGGTGGCAGGGCAGGAAGCCAGAAATGAACACGGCTCAAAGGTGAATTTGGAAACCTCAAAGGAAAGGACCAAGAAAGAGATAGAGGAGGAGGCAGAGATGAAAGCTGTGGCTACTTCACCAGGTGGAAGGTTTTTGAAATTTGACATTGAGCTAGGAAGAGGGGCCTTCAAAACAGTCTTCAAGGGTCTGGATACAGAAACCTGGGTAGAAGTCGCTTGGTGTGAACTGCAGGTTAGTGTAAATGAAATCCATCAGTCACTCATGTAGCTATATATTTGTGGTGCTTAGAAAGATTGATTATGTCTGATTATGCGAGTTATGTTTGATACCATCTAGAACTTCATAGCTAGTTTGGTTATACTGTAGAGTGTATAATCAAGCCTGTCACTGTTGGGTCCTGGGTCCCAGTGTCTCCAGTAATAGTTGTCCATCATTACTTTTCTTGAAGTAATAACAGTTTTGGCACTTTTTATTCAGTTCAAAGTTAAAGTTCAAAGAAGTAGTTAAATCATGCACTGCCAATTTCTCATCCACAAACAAAATCCCTCATAAATAACTAATATAAAATGAATATTAATCATCATTGTGCAAATTGTCAATATTTGATTCCAATTATAGGACTGGATTTTGCTGTGGTTTCAGAACATTTTTCAAGCACAAAGTTTCAGTCCCTCTGGCTACATTACTTTTTAATTATAGGATCTCACCTGAACCAGCATTCTTTCATGTAATGTTTTCATATATAAGTTATTCTCTATATGGGTTGTATTGTATATCACAGATAGCAAGCAATTTCTTTCTCATTGGTTCATAAACCTACTAAATTAATCAAGTTATGTTTCAGGTTGAGGGTGTGCAAGTAAGTGCAAGATATACTTTTACGTTTAAATGGTTTATGAATGGTTTACTGATGATTGAAGCAGATAACAGTCATATTGCATACCTTCTGACCATTTTCATATTATTTTTATTGTATTCTGGACATAAATGGAATACAGAAAAAAGAAAGTAAAATAGAATTGCCAAGGGATCCTTTTGACGATTTGCTTAATGTGATGCTTTTTCTTTCTTTGCTGTATCTGCACCCTTGCTTTAGTCTCCAGTCTCCTTTCCATCTTTTCTTTAATCCTATTCAGCTATTTTTTCCTATGGCTATCTTAGGAAGAGGTCTACCAAATGTTGGTATTATGTCTGTAGAAGCATTCCCTTGGGGAGGGAGGACAAGTCCTTGTACAATTAATAGAGGCTGTTCTTTGAGAATATATTCCTCTTTTTCCAAGTCCTGCACTAACTTGGCTTTTATAGTAGTTCTGCTATTGTTACTTACAATAGCAGTACTTCTATAATGATTTTTGGTGCTTCTATACTGATTCTTAAATCTTTGCTTTCTTGGAAGCCTGTTTGAGGAAGGCACTCATTGCCCATTTATTTTTAAACATACAGATAGATCAGAGATGCAGATGAATATTGCTGTGGATATCACAAATGTGGTGCTTTTTTCCTAAAGCTGGGGAGGGCAAAGCTCTTCTTACATGTGCAGTTTCAAAGGGAAAAGAGTATTTATGGCACCTTCTCCTCCCTCTCAGGTTGCCTTCCCCTCTTTCTCAGGTTTCAGATGTCACTTCTTCTACCCACAGGATGACCAGATGCAAAGGAGGAAAGGACTCCTGTTCTTTTAATAGTTGCATGTAGAAAAAGGAATTTTGGAATGTACAGGGATGGCAAACACTCAAAACAGTTAAAGGTACAGAAATTCTGCTCTCCTTTGCAACTTGCCCCCATGCTGACAAAGCATTCTGGACAAGGAGGGGATGCAATCAGGCAAATAGACTTTAAGAGTGGTGGGATATTAAAAGATGTTGAGATAAATCCATGCCCAAGAGAAGAACTATTATTTCCTGACGAATTTCTTGAAAGCAAATCAACTGGCTGGCCACTGGATCAGATTTGATCCAGTTGGACTCATATGATGATCTTATTTGGCATGAGATATTTGGCATTACCATTGCCCAAAGGTAGCTACTTACTCTTTCAGTAATACTAATTAGATACATACTACTAGTCCTCTCACTTTGGTGTTTAGTCATGCCGGCCACATGACCACGGAGACTGTCTGCGGACAAATGCTGGCTCCCTCGGCTAGGAAACGGAGATGAGCACCGCCCCTAGAGTCAGGCATGACTGGACTTCACATCAAGGGGAAACCTTTACCTTTTACTAGTCCTCTTATGTTTTAAACCCATTTATTATTACTACATTATATTTATGGCCCTCCCTTCTTCTTGCAAGGTACCCAAGATGGTTTATAAGGTTCTCCATAGCCATGTGAGATAGGTTGGGCTGAGAGACTAGGACTGGTCCAAAGTCATGCAGTGGACTTCATATGGGAGTACGGACTGGAACCTGGATCTCCCACTCCAGCATTTTAACCACTACATCACAGTGGCTCTCTGGATGGATTTGCTTACTGTTTCCCTGTTAGTCATGCTTTGGAATAGACCATTGAGAGGGAAAGTACCATTTTGGAGCAAGCTTGGTCATTACTTGTGTTTTCTTTGTCATGGAAAATTGGGTTGAGCTGCTATAATTCAAAAAACAGTGTGTGGTTGTTTTTTTCCTCATATACCCATCAGTGGGTGGCGGAATAACAACTGTACACCTAATAATTGGTTTAATTTCCTCCACAGCTAGTTCAGCCTAAGCATGTCAGAATTTTCCATGCCATCTATCTAAACAGTTCCTCTGTAATGGAGGCTGAGTTTAAAGCAAATCCTATGCTGTGTTGCTTTATTAGTTACAACATTCATTGCTCCAGCACCATAATATGTACCCTTTCCTCCAACATTATATGGAGAATGTTATGGGAGGCATTTAGTAGGGTTGTTTGTTTGGGGGATCTTAATATTAAGATGAGAATGTCGGTCACTACATTTAAATCTCTTTATTTGAAAATAAGCCCTCTTGGAAGCAATGGAAATGAAAAACATTGCCAGCTGTATTTTTAACTATTTGATTACTGTATCACAGTTGAACAGATGAATTTCTTTGACAACTTTCTGGTTCTCGGGCATTTAATCAAAGTCTCATTTGTGCAAACAACTACAAGTTCCATTTGGTCTGCAAATCTACATGTTTGATTTTTCCTTAAAGTACAAATGACAGCATTTCAACTCTGGACTCCTGCTGTACTACAGATTTTACAACTGATCACTCCTCTGTGAGGTGTGTTTTGCTGTCCATGCACAGCTCACTGAAATTGTTTCAGAGGGCAGAACAATACTTGGAAAACTGGGTTCCATTACTGGCTTTGGTATTACTTTGTTGCCTTTATTTATGTCAGAAGCATCACAATTAAAATAAGCCATATTATAAAGCATATTATATTAGAACTTATTTTAAAACAAGAAATTCAGAATGTAAAATATAAAATTAAAATGTACAATTTAAACAGATCTAGCCCAGAAGCTAACAACATTAATTGTGTTCTGTCATGCTGCTGTAAGATCCTCAAGTGTGCACAGATCTGAACACAAGGGCAGGTGTACATATGTGTTGCTTGCATATCACTGCAATCACAAAGAGCAGAAGTCACCGAAAAACCCCATTTGTTCAGAGCAACTCTGGATATTCTTGCACTTAGCTGTGTGACTTTGAATTATATTATTTCATTGTGCCTCATTAAAAAATAGAGGATAGCATACTAATTCATCTTTGCAAAATGATGTAAGGCTTCTTGAACACTGTAGCATGGGAAATGTTCTGTAAGCCTTTAGTCAAATGCTTTAATAGGCATGACTTCTTGGACAGAGAGATTACTTACAGTAGATGCTGAGCCTTTTCACATGAAACATTTATTGTGCACCTGTGATTCTTCACTCATTATAGTTTTTGGTTCCTTTCCATGATGCTGTCCTCCAAGTTTTCTCCCTCCCTTATTTATTTATTTATTTATTTTATTGGGATATTTTTATCCTGTCCAATATGGTTTGTCTCTGGACAACTTACAATATAATAAATACATCCATTGATAACAAGATAAAACGTGACTAAGGATATCAATAAAACATAATTAACATATTTAAACTTTTAAAATATTGGGTAAATATAAATGGTCTTGACCTGGCGCCAAAAAGCATATAATGTCGGTGCCAGGCGAACCCCTTTGGGAGCAGATTCCACAGCCAGGGTGCCACCGCAGAGAAAGCCCTCCTCCAAGTGTTCTCTCTCCTAACCAACTTCAAGGAGGGTTCCTGGAGCAGGGCCTCTGCTGTGGATCTTAAGGGGCAGGAGGGCATATAGGGAAAAAGACATTCCTTCAGGTATCCTTGCCCCAAGCCATTTTGCTTCTAATGAGGAGAATCTGGTATATCTCTGATGGCAACATGAAACCCTAGTGTATTTGTGCTGTTTCATTATACTGCAGCATCACCTTGTGGTTGTGTAATACAACTTATAAAAAGGCAGAGAAAGAAGAAGAAAATGTGCAGAGGAGCCATCTATCTGCTCAGTATTTGCAAAGACTGCTTTAACATTATCAACCTTTATAATTCATGGTCCATTTTACTGTCAGTTCTTTTAAAATTCATTTTAAAACTTTATGCCAGAAACTCTCCATGCTAATTATTTTTTCCTTCTGTGCATTGCATTACAGATAAAGAAGTAATTAAGTCAAATTATGCATTGCAGTACTGACTGGTTTAAACCTGGTTCATGGCAACTCGGGAGAAGGGGAGCAGGGTCCTTAAGCAAGGCAAAGATTGGTATGATGATCATGGAAAGGGAATGGGAAATGAGAGCTCCTAGTTCAGAAGAAAGCACAATGGTCCTAGAATTTGGACTGAAGGAACATGATGCATCAACCCTACTAACGTTAAGGAGGTTTAGGTAGGAGACTGCCTAGGAGCACTGTGTATGCCACCTGGAGCTCCGCCATGGAAGGAAGAGGCAAAATAAATTTTTTAAAAAGTAAGTAAATCAAAGTTACTTTTAGGAGGAAACTTTTTATAGTGCATGCTTTATCACGCAACCTGATCTGGCCTGTTGTTCTTCAGGAGTCTCCTTTGATCATTTCTGTGGCTATCTTGTAGTTCTGTCGTTTGTGCTTGACCAAGCTCTGGGCAAGACTATCCCTTCTGGATGTCTAATAACTGCAGCCGCTAATAATACCTGAAAGCTCTCAGACTCTCTGTTCAGAACATACTGTGGGCTTGAGATTCGTTTTAGAAAAGGTT